CGGAGGCATTCAGCACTTACCAGCGGCACAAAGGCAGCAGCAGTGGAAACTTGATTGGTGTGGCAGGGTTTGGGAGGGTGGAGAAATTGGTGCAGCTATAAGCTGCTATCCCAAGAGCTCAAGGGGTAAGTGCAATGCGGTATAGCGATGGTGTTTTGAGGCTGGGAGGGGAAAAATTAAAGAATCCTTATGTATAAAAAAAATGAGCTGGCTGAAGAGCGAAGACCAGGCACAAACAAGGTCAACAGCCAGACGAATGTGGAAGGGATTGGAAATGGAGAGTAGGCGACTGGTGTCCAAGTTATTACTTGGCCAAAAAAAATAGGGGTGAAAGCACGAAGGGTGCCACAACGGGCCTTGTCAGTGACTGAAACTCTTCAAAGGAATTGAGCTTTTTCAGAAAGTCTTTCTACCAATACAAACTTTCCGCACAATTTCCCATTTTCTTGCTGAAACCCCAACACAAAAGTCTGCCTCTAGTGTTTGCTTCTCTCCACTATTTCTTCTTTCCTTTCCCCATTTTAAAATAGTTTAAAGGCAGGAAAACCGGGTAGGGGGAGAAATTGTACCTAAAAATGAAAATACAAGTATTGAAATTGTTTCAATTAAGATGAAATAGTTCAAATGAATAACTTGCGATATGAAAATATTTTATGTTTTTATGTTGAAACATTTTTAGATTTCCCCTCCCCCTCCAGCACTCTCTTTTGAGTTGCTTTTGCTTGGATTATTTGAATTAAACCGAAGTATTTGAGACCAAAGATTATAAACATGATTTTGTAGGTGGAGAGGGAAAAGCTACGTGTTTTAATTTGACACACATTGTGTTATCATGATGTCAGGACTTTTTGAGTGTACCTAATAGTTGGAGAGCAAAAGTGGCAAGTTGTTTTAATGCTCTAAAATGTAGTTTTCTGCTCCCATGTTCAACTCTGTTCAAGTATTGGTTGATTTTTATTTTTTTTTAAGTTATTAAAACTTAAGAACTTAAGTTCTTAAGTTTGCAAGAATGTGGTAAGATTGCAAGAATGTGGTAATATCTTAACTCTAAATTAAAAGTGGGGGCTTTAAAGATGTTTATTCCTGCTCATTTAGTTCAGTTATAAATCTGGCTTAATTTTCCCCCGGAACAGACATCTGACTTGCAGGTTGTGTCAGAGACTGCTTGTGTATTCACTAACGATTGTACGAGAATGCACTAGATGGCACTAGAACACTTCCAAATGCCCGATCCCATCTTCCCTGTTTAAGTGGGATCTCATTGTAAATACAAAAAATCTGCTCACAGGCAGGTACAATAAAGCCACTACTCCTACCAATGATGGTTTTGTTTTATCTTTCTTCCTGTTTGTGGGGAGCAATGGTGGGGAAAAATGAACCTGGACAGTTTTTCAGATTTAATATGGCATTACGCAGAGGCTAACATCACCTACGTGTTTAGTCCCTGGATGACTTTGGAAACTAAATGCAGCCGGACTTAGAAATGATCTTTCAGAGAACCCTCCTATCCAAGTGCTGCATCTTGTTTTCTTATAAAAAAGTGTTTTTGTGCTAAACCATCACTTGTTAGCACTTACCATAACTCCTGTTTCTGCAGGGGGGCTTAATTTCCATTTATGCAACAGCATTCCCTCGGTTGCACAAGCTATTCTGTATTGTCACCTACATAATTATCTCTACTGCTTGGTTCAGTAGGGGCTGTGTTTGAGGCATGTGCAGCTGGTGTGGTTGGATTTAGAAATGCAGGCTGACGGATGCTCAAAAACAGAGTAAAAAGCTAGAGGACAGAGCTCTCACTTCTTACCGTGGTTTTATGATGAGAGAAAAGCAGCAGAGTGGCTTTGGTTTGTCTTGTTTCTGAAGAAAGGTATTTGGATGGATTGGCTCAGTCTTTCAAAGCAGCTTGGTGACGTGCAATAGGAAGGAAAAGCTGAATTAGAAGTGAATTGGATTAACATATGTGGTTGCGCTCTTTGCAGTTTATGTGAACATACGATCTGATCTTCCAAGATGTGGATGGTCTCCTGAAAGGTGAAAAGCATCCATAATTCCCACCTCTTGCTACAGTCGGTGAGAGCCGAGTTCAGCACCTTGAAAGATCGGGCACCTGACTTTCTCCAACTGAACAAAATGAAAGATAACGTAAAAGGCAATCAAATGGTCACCTCTTTTAAATAAATGTGAGATGAGCCA